GCCTAGGGCCGAGTGGCAATTTGAACGTAATTGTTGTGGCTCTCGTTAAACTGATAAGTGCTATAAATGATGCTTGTTTCTAAGCAACGCAAGCACTTTGGAGTGTTGTAATATCAGTGCAACAAGATCAAGTTTCTACCTTCTTAGTGTGGAGTGATCACACAACAAAGGCAAGAGATGCTACAACACACAGTCCCTCTAGAGTTACTTTCAATAAATATATTTTCACCACAGGTTCTGAATTCACCATAACTGGCCTTTCAATAGCATGTCAAGAGAACTTTTTAAGTCAACACCAAGGAAATAATTTGAAGCTGTGAATACATAACTCCTAGTAATTTTGGACAGCCTCATTTGTAGATTAACCCACCTCCCTGTCTAATGAAATCCGACCAGTACTTTCTTGTCAAGATTTAAAAGGAATAGGAACATGTGCAGCAGTCCTTGTGATCATTTTGTGTAACAACTAACAGCAGCACTGACATATAAATGATTTCATCTTTGTGCAAACTCTCACCAAATCATGGATGTGCTCATTCAGTCATTGAGGTATTGCTGAGTTACTCATTACATTAGTTTCGGAATGCCTTTGTGCTCTACAAGCTGCAGTATGAAACTCAGGCCAGTGTGAAAATGATAGAACTGACAGAGACAGACAATCAATAGGTTAAACCTCATCGGCATGGTAATTATTCCAAGTGTGGGAGAGTGTTCTAAGAATGCTAATAAACTTGTACTTTGTTGGAGGAGAGCGGCAGCTGCTGTCTGAAAAAGTGAGCCTTTATCTCATATTTAAATTGTATCATGTCTCCCCCCCTGTCAATGATGGACAACTTTCCAGCCCGCCTTTGAGTGTGGCCAACGATGCCAAACAAATCATTTTCTTTCTAGCATAACTCAGCCTTAAGTTTGGCATGATGTACTTTGGCATATCAGCAGTTTAAGATACATTAGCATGCTAAGATGCTCACAATGACAATGCTAACATGCAAGTGTTTTGCAGGGATGATGTTAACAATTATTTACTTACATGTTGTGTGTAAGCATGGTTTGATTTGCTTTTTGTCAGTAAACATAACATCCAGCTGCGGCTGTTGGGAATGTCATGTATTCATTCACAAACAAAGTAGAGGACACATTTTGACCTGATAGATTAAAAGTTAGTGAATTAATAATGCATCCCAAGAGAAACAGGAATGTCTGTGCCAATTCCATAGCATGCATCCAATAATTGGCAAGTAATTTAACCCTCCTGTTATCCCTGGGGTCAATTTGACCCCATTCAATGTTTAACGTATCTAAAAAAAATGGTTCACATTATATTTTTTGTTTAGTATTTCATGACTTTTCCTAATTTAGTGAGGACTAATGGGTAAATGTCCTGTACGCACTTTGCACGCATCAATTTGACCCCAGGCTGTTTTATTAATATAAAACATATAAACATTTCAATATTTTACACATATTTGTGTTGATTGTGTAGGACGATATTGAGGTGACTATTACATGCAAATATATCATTGTAAAACAAAACTACCCTCTGCTTTAGTTATTAGTCCTTTAACAACATCAAAAAGATCTTAATTTAACATTTTATTTCAATCAGTGACATTTTATGGTGATTTATATATTGTTTGACACTCGCATATTAATTCTGGATGTATAAAGGGCTCTGTGGGGAGGAAGGTTGGGGTCATGTTTTATTTAAATCGTTATTTAGGTGGTCAACTAAGATACCACAATTCATATTGTTATTCAACCAAAAGCCAACAATCTAAACCTTATGGTGGCACAAGAGAAAAGGATAAACAAAAGTAGTGGACTCAACCCCTGTGAGAACATGAAGGTAGGTACAACATTTCACGACAATCCACGCAGTAATAGACCAAAGTGAAGCGACTAACAGACACACTTTTCCACACATAGTGCCATGCAGCTAGCAGGCAGCTACTGTAGCATGGCTAATATCTGGGCACAGAAAACTTGTAGGGATCAAAAATATGAAAACAAAAATACCACAGATGGTTTGAATCAACCATCTAACACCAACTGACACATATTTGGCTTTTACTGCAGATTCCTGGTGTTGAAAGAGCTTATCTCTCAGCTCTAGTCAAGTTTATGGTTGTGTTTTTTTGCATGATGAGAAAGTGAGTGACCAGGCATCCAAATAAATGCCCAAGGGGGGCCCCGCTACTTCATGGCAGTGATAAGTGAGGCACCGGACTCCTTATTTATTTAGATTTTACTGCTTCCCACACGGGTCAGCAGCAGCATTCCTCTCATCCGAGCTGATATCCAGCTGATAGAACCGGGACAGGAACCGAGGTTCCGCTCTTCGGAGTCCTGAGGTTGAATCTTGAGATCAGCGCTGAGGATAGGGGGATATTGTTGGCTATAATAACTCAACCTCTATAAGTGGACGACTAGAATAATACCCAGAATTGAGACTCAGATTTCGGGGATGATCTGATCAAGCGGAGGTATGCGTACAGAAAACACTGTGCTAAAAGCAATATCAACACTATGCACCCAAGACACAGAGAAAGCCAAAGATCATCCAGCTCTAGAGCTCAGCTTTAGAAGAAGGGAAAATGGTTCACTGCATTCATGTGTGACTGGGAAGATTTTCAATAGCCAATTATACTGCAACAAAAACAAGGAAATTAAAGAGGAGATGAATCAATCAGTGATTAACAATTAATTTCAAAAGTATCTTGTGCCAGCTGAGCTGCACCAAGATGTCTTTCTTATTATGAGACAGAATTTCTGTGGCTGTGTAATAAATGTTTTGGAATCACCGTAATTCAAACCAGAGGCAGCGTGACAGGAAGATGGTAGCAAATTGCTCCGGGTGAAATCTTCAAGTTTCATAAATGCAGCTGCTGTGTAAATGATACCCCCCAACCCCACACACACACTCCCTTTCCACCGACAATGAAAATGAATTCTGGGTTCAGGTTTGCAATCCACTCTCCCTCAATCTCCCCCTCTGATCATAATGATGCTTGCACGAAATTCTGACTCAGTAGTCTCATTTTAATGTCACACATTAGTTTTTCGTTTGGGGGTTAAAAGGGTTAGGAAAATCCTTCAGAGTAAAGACGTGAGATGTGATTTGAATTCCACAGGAGATCATTTTTTATGACGATAATTAATCCTTTTGAAACAAGATTTTAAAAGAGGGCCTTGTATATTTAATAAACCATTCTAAAAAGCAGAAGAGACACTAGGTCAATTGCTGCATTCAAGGTCCATCTTCTGAATCTTGGAGTGTGTTCATGCTCTGCAAATTAAACTGACTGAAAATAAACATTTTTAATTAAAATTGAAATAGCCATTGTTTCAGCACTACATTCAACCCTCAAATAAGGCTGTGTGGTGCTGGGCAAAATGCTGCAATATTTCATCAGGACATGGCCTCTTTCTGTCACACCTCTGTCTTAATGGGGAATGCAACCTCACAGGTACATACTGTGAGATCTTAATTAATGAATCTGTTATGAAGCTGGACGTTGTTTCTGTCTCCAGGATACTTCTGGGATATTGTGCTTCTCCTAAGTGTGTTCAACATTGACTGAGAAAGATTGGGGCCCTTCATGGTTGAGCTACCCGGGCTGCCAATAAGTCTCTCTACAGATAACAATCGCTAATAGGCACATCAGCTCTGTGTGACAACAGACATTTCAAACAGAGCTTTACTAAGGTACACATTGTGGATGAATTAGAAACCATTATGTGAATGTTTAATGAGTTTTGACTTGGTGTTGAATACTTCAAAAGTTTAAATACAGCCATAAAAGGTCATAAGGTGATAAATGATGAGAAACTTCAGAATATATTTGGTGCTCATTAATAAATAAAATATTACTTTTCCTGAGGGCAGCAATTATTCCTCATTCACAGAGTTTATCTGTTCCTTCAAATATACGTGACCCACCCAAGGAAGCTTAAGGAGATAGAGAACATCCCTCCACCCTGGAGTCAAAATGTACCATATGGCGCCTCTCACAAAATATTCCCTGTTCTTTATGAACAGCTGTTCCCCAGCTATCAGTGATGAACAACTCAAACATACATATTCAGTCACTGGGAAAAACAGTGTCAGCCATACTCCCAGATAACAACATTTATCAGAGGGCCCTGTTTCTGCTATGAAATATTACAATAAAAACAATGTGCTTTAGTCTCAGCTGTGAATGTTCTAGCAACACAAGTGACTACAAAGTACATTTGGAGGCAGATCACGCTGACAATAACCCCAAATGTCTCCAAACGAGTTGGTTTGTACTGGATACAAGTGACTTTCTCTCACATAATACTGTTTTAACAATTTTAGATTACATAAAGACACCACTCTGGGAGATTTTAAGGGACCTTCACATGTCAGTCTAGCCAGCTCTCCTCCCACTCTGCCTCTTACCTACTACTGTAAAAAAAAAGCCCTTACCCATAAGTTAAGTCATTCAAAGTCATCATAACAGATATGATCTATTATTTGTTTCTCATTGTGAGTTTAGCATCAACAATTAACAGCTGCATCTGTATCCAACACAACAACAGCATGCCTCCCTCTAGTGCCTATCTGGATGTAGACTTGGAGACTCCCACTGGGCTCCTTATTAATTCAGTCCCATATGGAGAGGCAAACTTTCAATCATGTAGGAGTGATAAATGATAATGCAATGTGTGTGCACTGGGACTGAGGGGATTGAAAGCAGGCAAACGCGAATGCATTCCCTGTTTCTGATTGAATATAATTCATGAGTTATAACATGTTGAAATGTCCCACTGCGTTTTAAATGTATAAAAGAGGAGGAAATCAGAAAAGTTCAGGATCTACATGCTTCAGATTGACACCGCAGTTTAACGTGGATAAAACGCTTAGGCTAGAAATAAAACTTAATTAAGCTCAGAAAGAACATGTATCGAAAGTCAGTGTCAACAGTCAGCTCATAAAAGTTAAGCGCTCAAAACTTTTAAGGTAAAAGTTTCCTCACCTGAGGCATATGCTATTCCAATCAAAGTCCGACAGAAAAGCGTAACATCTGTCTTCATCTCCAGATCTCCGGTCCAGGAGCGCAGAAGCTTGCGCGGTGTTTCTTAAAAAGTCGTTAGTTTGCCTGCTGGTGGACACAGTGGAGATGGGGTGTGAATGAATGTCCATGGATGGAGGGAAAACTCAGGTGAACCTCGGCCAACCGATGCCTGTCTGTAGGCTACTGTGCACACAGAGCTCAGCCCAAATGCTGAGGAAAAAGAACAAACTATTCTAACCCCGTTTTGTCCAAAGGATGCACAAGGCACTGAATGGGATTTACAACGATTTCCCTTTCCCTTGCTCGTCACTGGAGCGCATGCACACCCACCCATCCAGTTCACAAAACAAGGGGAATAGGAGGTGTGTGTTTGTGTGTGTGCTGTTGGGGGGGGGGGGGGGTCCCGAACATCCATGACACATTTCGCTCCCTGCTGGATCCCATTCATTTCATCCACTGTGTTAAAGACCTTTAGGCATTGGTGGAATGTAGAACTTCCATTGTATGCAACGTTATACTTTTACTAAACTACACCAACGATAGACATATATACTCCAATTCATTACATGTATCTGACCTCTTAAAATAGCTTTTAGATTACATTTTTTTCATCCCCTCCCCGTCCAGTTACAACCATGGATCTACACATTTTCTGAGCTTTCCTGACAGGAAGGATGAAGTGTTCCTTTTAGAAATAAATCTCCTTCTTAAGTAAAAAAAAAATACATTTTGAAGCCCCCTTGGATTAGCTTGAAAATGCATCGTCAGAAAGCTGTAAACAGGGCTGTTTTTTTCTCTGAGCTTAAGAAAAGTTTGTTTTTTTAGAGATACTTGGTTTTAACAGGACGGTGGCACTGCAAAAATAATGTTAATCTCACAGAATATGATCCTACCCATTACCCAACAATATATAAAGAGTTAGCACAACCTTAAACAACTACAGTGTAAAACATAGAAATCAAGGCAGCAGTAATCATAATTCAAAGACATCATAAGTAAATATCTGATAGGGAATTTTTTCTGCATATTATGTTTGATTACTTAGGATATTTGCTGATCAAACATTACCTAGATAAGGTTTAAAATGCAGGGCTTTTACTTGTAGTGTCTCGTATTCCTACTAGTATTTACTCAAGTAAAGTATCTGAATACTAACAGTGAATAGATAATTACAGGATGCATTATACACTAACTTCCAAGTTAACAGAATGCATGACTCTGTACGGGAGCTGTAATGTGTTGCTTATGTGCAGACTGTGTGCAATACATTCATTTTCATTTCATGGACCTTTCAAACCACTTAAATACCTCCTGACAGCCATTCAAAAGCTCAGCAGATAATCCTAATGCCATCAGAAATTCCCATAAAGCCACCACAGGAGTACAGCAGTGTCATCGAGGAAGTTAACAAAACATCAGCCTCTGCAGGAATATTAAAGACTCTGTCAGGATTCTTTCTCCTCTGGTCGCCGGTCTTTAATCCACACGATAATACTTCTCTTAAAGCTTCTGACCCCATAATGTCAATACAATATTATCTGTTGGGGTCAAATGTCTGCCGTTAATTTGATGTCGCAAAAGTTATCTTTTCTTTCTTTCAGACCTTAGTGAACCACAGCTGAGTAGAGGTGCCTTTGGAGCAGCTCATTATAAGAGTATGTAATTATTATTTAATGATGACTCCAATGAGTTCTTCAGGTCTTGTCCAAGTCCTGTTAACCCACACATTCATCCATCCTCCCCATCAGTCCTTGGAGCATAAATGAAGATCATGTAGAGCAAAGCAAAAGTGAGCTGCTTTCAGCACTGTTTTATTTTACAAAGAGGGTTTTTGAAAATTGGAAACCTATGTACCAAGTACACTTAAGATGGAAATAAAAAGTCAATGTGACACAATAGGAGTGAACTTGACTGATCTAGCCCTCACACACAGTTAGAGTTTTGGATGCAGCTGTGTGATTAATTCATAACTTTTCGGATGCAGCAACAGCTTCAAGGTCCAATCGAACCTCTTGTGGAGCCACAGAGGAACCAGCATGCACATTCAAGCCAATATAATCAGTCAGCTCTGCTTTCAAACACCATGTGCTGTAAAATCAATAGTATGCTGTTATCTCCTCTTGGAAATCCATTACAACGATAATAACGCTAGCTGACTCGAGACTCATTCCTAACTGTGTCTTAAGAACTGTTGAACACCAGTCCATCAATCAAACAGCAGCTGTCAATAAGTAAAAACATTTCTTTCCCAATATGATTATGTTGTTATTCTTAATGATTTCCAAGCCGCGGAGACCCGGAGATCAGGCTTTTGTGGAATAACAGGGAGTCGAGGGATCGTTGGGTGTTATTGTGGGCATCAGTTTCCTCCCGGATCCCTTACGGCCATCCACCTCTCTGACCTTAAAACACAATGTTGTGATTGAATGGTTGTAATTAAAATGTTCTCCTGGTTTCAGCCCCGCAGCGCCCTCAGTTTCAGAGGAACATAAACACGCTAAATCGTGTTGATAGCCTAACAAAGCTATGTCCAGGGAGTTACCAAATCTCACCATGGATGTAGAACGGATAATGTCAGTAACCAATGAAAACACTTGAGTGTAACAATACACTGCACACATAAGCATCCAGGCAAACCATTCAGACTAACAAAAGGCCTTGTGTAGTTTTGTATGATTGCCCCTGCTGTGTCCAAAAAACGTTTTAATATATAATACTGCTGGCTCCTGAGAGACAACTGTGGACCCAAAGACCCGTCCTTGAAGTGCCAGCACTCCATCCGGCCCATCCTGAGGTCAGGAAACACATTACAGATCCACACGTTACTATCATAGGAAGGAAGTGGAGCGCGCATTCAACAGCTTGCTCTCTCACTGAAGTCCATGCCCATGGGCCTGTGCATGGCATTGCACTCTGCCAAGCTGTTGTGAGTTGGCTGACAGAGAGGGTTTTTATTTTGTTTTCGTTACGAGTAAGACAGCGGAACAGCGGCTATGCAAAGTTGTTCGACTAAAAAAGGAGCAGTAAATAATTGATCAACTTATTAGTTATTAAAGGTCCCCTATTATACTGTTTTTCATCAATATATTATAGGTCTCAGATATATACAAAACATGTCTCTGAAGTGTTTGGCTTGAAATACCAAACAGATCATGCATTGCAGCATCCCATAATCCCCTCTGTTTCAGCCCTGTTTCAAAAGTGCTGATTCTCTGTCTGTTACTTTAAGGCCCTGACACACCAAACTGACACCAAAGAACACGTCCTGACGGACCCGATTGTTGTGTCGCCTCACGTCTCCTGTGTCTTGGCCAAAAAGTCGCACTGGAAGACATGCCGCAAAGTCTTCAGAAGGCCAAGTCCGAAGATGGATGTGATCTGAGCAAGGGTAGAAGATTTAGGGGGCTAGGAAATGAGGAAGAGGCCATTTGTTGGTCTGGTTTGATGTCGCAACTAGTGTTCTGTGATCCCATAGCAAGATGGTTGCTTGTTTCATTCAACTGGAAATTGTCACAACCCTACATTTATTTTTGAACAGCTCTGGTAGTTTTTTTGCCACTTGAGAGCAGCATAACAAGCCAACATTATCTGGCCGTTTGGTTGCTAAATGCTACACGATGTTCAGCAGCTAGTATGTTGTTTTGGGCTAGACAAATAAGGTGGACAGTGGGTCTAATACATTTTGTTGGGCTAGAGACAACTGCTTGCTGTTTGAAAATGTAAGAAACAATGCATTAAAAACAGAAAAGCAACCACAATGAGCTAAAGGATTAAGAGGAACTAACGAGTTGGGCAAAGATAATCTTTGCATGACCACTTCCACATGAAACTTTGCCATTTTCCCACTGTTTATAGGAACATAATGGAAAGTACAACTTTACATTTGTATGCCTCTAATGAAGCTACATACCACAATTTAAAACAACACAAATACTATGATACATTTTATGCAGTCACTTTTGTAATCCAAAAGGCACCATGAGAGGACATGTGGTCCAAAAAGAGCCACAGAACCACTCATGCTCACCTCAGATTTAATAAAACGTAATTGCTCTCTTCAGATTAGGAAACGAGTTAACTCTCTGCAGTTACAAGTCAGAGTGGCTGACCAGTGCATTGTAAGTGTGTTGTATACGCACCCACACGCCGCTGTGTAGGAAGAGCGTGGTCCCCCTCAGGTGCAGTTCATTGTGCCTCTTTTCCAATTTGCAGAGGAGGCAGCAGCATCCTGCTTCAGCGGCCCCCCGAGGCCCTGAGGCATCCCCACTGTCACTGTTTTTGTGACCTTTCACCTGGCAGGAGGAAACAGGACATCAGTGCTTTTGTGTGTTTGTGAAGATAACCGAGAGCCTGCCTCTTCTTTCTCCAAAAGTGTCAGGGATGACTTGTGTATTCATAGTCAAGCTTTCTGCTTTGATGATGCTTAATAACATCCTCGATTATTTCAAGTGAGGTCATGTAAGAGTGTAGGTTCACAGCTTCAGAAGAGAATCAAAGACAACGTTTTGTGAAAAGAGTGATTTGGTTTATTGTTTGAATCGGCAGTTTTACAGTGATCATTTGGGTCATATGCAACTGACATGCAATGGCAACAATGTAAATATACTGCATACACTGAATCCTGTAAAGAACTATATCTCCGTGCTCTATAAAAAAACAAGAGTGCATTATATCACACTTACATTTAAGCACGTATAATGTATATTTTTATAGATAATGACAAATCAACAGCTGCTAGAAGTCATATACAGAACTCGTAAAGGTGCTATGAAGTTACATTTGGATGTTAAACTTCATCAGAAAGAACATCTGTTTCTCATTTCAGACCGAAGTCCAAACATGAACCATTTAATCAGTAAAATCTCAAACTAAAGTGCACACATCTTTTATGCTGATAAAACTCAATGGTGATTAAAACAATAACCTTTTACAAGCGACTGAGGACAGTCTGACTTAATGAAAAATAAATAAAAGGAGTATCATTGAAAGGTCAACTGTCTTCATCTTCTTTAAGAGATTAGGATGAGCAGTGAAGAACCGCATGCATCCAGCTTCACTATTCAAAATTGTTGAACAAAGTGTTAGTTTAACGTTTCTGTTGATGGCTACAGCACATAGAATTAGCCTCTTCAGAACTATTTCAATTATAATGAAGGAATATAGCATTGTTCATAACATATCAAGGCTTTAAAGGCTTATTGCAGGTAGAAAGTAGATATACTGTATCTGATCAATAGAGCAATCTGAAATGGCTGATACAGACCCATAATGCTAAAAAGGCACTGCTGTCTTTTAAGAGCCTAGTGCTAACAGTTATTGGTCAATAAGTGAATAGAAGGCTTTGCATACTGAAGAGCTTTGTATCGATTGCCCCCATGCTAGCCAGACAGAGCGACAGGAGGGTAGTGGAGGAGTTTGATAGGCGGAGGTTTCTGTCGGCCATCACTGATGCACGGACTGAAGAAGGGGAACGCCTTGCCCCTCGGCCCGTTGGTGAACGAGTACAGCAGGCTCATATCATCGGCGTTGTAGAAGGAGACCCTCCTCTCCTCGCAGTCTAAGTAGACCCCGAGCCTCTGAGGGGCGGAGACGAGCTGCAGCCTGGTCCAGGGCTGCGTGCCGGCCGAGTATTCACAGGCATTACGCAGCCGCAGCGTCCAGTAGCCGCTCTCGGGGCTCAGCTTGATGCGAGTGTGCCTGTCGACGGCCTCCGAGGCCACGCCCAGGTCCCACTTGGGCTTGGAGCCCACTTCTACCTCCCAGTAGTGTCGGCCTGACTGGAAACCCTGTGCAGCCAGGATGTTGACGCACTGCAGGAAGCGCTTGTTGTGGTCGTTGTGCGGGATCATGATGTCACATTCAACAACTGCCGTTTTGTCCCTGGAGACCTGAATGCTCGGGTGCGCTGTGTCGACATCAAACGTTAATGGGGAAGGACCTGTGGGGTGAAAGAATTAATGACGTTTAGGTTTAACAGTGCGTTAGTCACATTTTTCAATAAATGAAATATCATTAGTGGAACAATGGTGTTGTTACTGTGTGTCTTCAGCATCTTTTCATCTTTTCATCATTTCAGTAATCATTCAGTAATTACTCCCATTGCTGAGGCAAGTCTTTTAGTATCTAATGAAGCACATCGGAGAGGAGATTACCTGGCTTCAGAGACTTGAACATCCTTCTCCATGTGATGTACTGTAATGGGGCCAGGTATTTGTTGCTGAAAGCGTTTATTTCAAACTCCAGGGCGTTCTTCACCTGCACACATGGCCTGTAGGAAAAAAGCAAATGATGGTCATATATTTAGAGCACAAATAAAAACATATGAAAGGTGCAAACACGACAACAAAAAATCAATTATTCATCAAACTGAAATATTTCACACTTACTTTATCTGTGGGAGCTAGAGCAAAAAGGAAAAATCACATGACACTATTATTAAAAGTGCAGATGTGATAGACACATTCACAGTTGAATGACTATTTTAAGGCTTGAAACTGTACTTCAAACCTGGATTCTCTTTTAGACTTTGAGTCCTAGCCAAAGCTTACCTGAGTCAGGACGATGTTCTCAGTGTCAGCACTCGCCTGATGCAGCACTCTCATATTCTCCTCCAGCTGTCTTACTGCCAGCTCCATGGCCTCCATGTGGCGCTGCACTCTCTCCACCTCCTCCCCCTGCTCCCTCCTGAGCTGCTCCAGCATGCAGAACTCCTCATCCTGCAGGATCTGATGGAGAGCTGCAAACTCCCCTTTGACCCGAGCCTGCAGATCTGCTCCCACTCTCTACAACAGGGACAAATGAGCGATGTTATAGATGGAGAACATCATGTCGCATCTCTCGTTGTTCTACCACAGCTATGTTGGCTTTTCCCATTAAAGCTCTTAATTGCTTCCCCAAAAGTACACATCTCTAGAGAGAGACAAACAAGTGGTAATGAAGCAAGACTTTGCATCAAAGGTCTACGAGTCAAACAAATGAAGACTGGGGGGGAAGGATTTCCTGTTCCTCATCTCAGCACAGCATGCCGTCTAAATGCAAGCTCTTATCTTCCATCCGTCTCACACGCATTAGATGTGTTTAAGTTTCTGTCGCCTGTGAACAGTTTGCCACATGGTGTAATGAAGTTTTGTCTAGGCCTTAAAGAAACATGGAAACAAAGCGCTGTTAGACAGGTTCTTCTGTTACGGCTCATTTCAGACCATACAGTATGTGTGGTTTACATAATAAGATGATAACTAAGAGGTATCGATAACGCCTCTATTGAGTCTCCCCTTCTGGTGCAGACGTGTGGAGGTTCTGCTGGAGTTGCAGCTTCCATCCAGCATTTGATAAATCACAATAAAAAAAGGATTATCAGGGACAGAAAGGGAAGAGGTTGATCCAGAAATTAGCAGCAAAGTTGTCGGTAAATGTACAGCGCAGACAGAGTCTCTGCTGCAGCTACATTCAATTATTGTCTGAAACCATGAGTTTTTATTTATAATAAATATATTTTTTATATATAAATATCTGTATATATATCCTGAGACCCAGCCTATTGACCAATGCCCTCTGTAGTGGATATTTTATTAACATGCATCTCCTTTTACTCTTTTGAGCTACTCTATCAATCCCTGCTGCACTGGACAGAGGACATCCTGGGCTTTCCAGTGATATGTCATTGGCATGCTGCTAAAATTGCATGCTGGGAAGTTCTCATTCATAACACTCCGTTCGATGTCTCACTATGGGATGCGGCTCATCGCGGAGCAAACAGAAGCATCAATCTCATTACGCCAATCCTGATTGGCTGGTGATCTTGACGTCAGCGTCAGGGAATCCACCCACCCTATAAGTAGCTTGTGCCACGTCGCAGCGTCATTCAAACACCTCTTCTCGCTTCAGAGCACATCTCGACATATCAGTAGCCGGGCTAGCTTAACAGTCCACAGACTGAACCCAAAGCTAACTTTCGGTCGACGGGCGCTCGCCGGCTACTTTTCTGCTTCGCAAGAAGACTGTTAATACTAACACACCAGTTAGTATTGCAATCTACCTCGCCGTTTCTTTCTTCGGAAATAAAGGTAAGGTTTTGATTTTTCAAGCTAGTAACACACCTGTTGCTAGCTTGCCTTCCCTCACTACCGACACCACGGTAGCGAGGACGTTTTTTCTTTTTCTCTCTCACACCAGAGGAGGGGAAGATAAAAAGGTATGAACACACCAGTTAATATTCTTTGAGAATACAATTCTACACAGTCGCTTTTTCTCCGGATTAACGACAGATGGGGAAAAAAATTAATAAAAATTACTCAGCAAAGTACCTGTTACGAGCGGGCCCTCTCCACGCCGTCACCACGGCGAACAAGATGGACGCTTCTCTCCCTCACACCAGAGGAGTCAGGGACTCTGAGGCTCGGCTCTGCGGGTTGAAGATATCAGGTACAGACTAACACCAGGTCTGCTCGTCCTGCCTCGGGCTGGGCTCAAGTCCCCACCATCTGGGTCCTTCTCATGCATCAGAACCGACCCCTGTTAGTACGAGAAAAAGACGTACATAATAATACTTTGGGGTCGAGCTTCGGGTCCACAAAATGCTCCTATAAAACAGACGCATTCGGAGACAAGGCTGACACGGCTCTAGTCGGTCAGCAGGTCCATCCAACGGTCCGGGTTAACTGGCACAACAGAATTGCCCCCGATAGCGCCGAAGGCCATGGTAGCGATGTTGTGAGAACCTCGACTCTCTGTCTCGGCTTCCCTTCATGGAGCACGGGATGAGCTTGTCTGTGGGACTTTACGCTTGGAGTCTATAAAGGAGACACGCATTAGTATGTACCCTACACCTTGTATGCGTAAGAAAGTCTAGCTGACTACATTTGGTCGAGCAAAACAACGTGCTCTGTATCGGTCTCGTACACACTCGCCCGTAGACTTAAACATAGAAAACTATATAAACAAGTCTCGGAGAGTTTAGAGTCATACAACGGCTTAAGGCGAAGGGGGAGGCAGCAAACCCTTGCTCCCTTATGAACTTATTTTCGGGCGAGACTGACGACAAGCCGCCCATACATATCTATATCGGAAGAAAAGACTCGATCGGCTCTCTTAAGAGCGAGGTCTTATCCCGACTGAAGAGGGCCCGGAACACTTATGTCTTACCGGGCTCTTCAGCCTCCCCCCCGACTGTCGCTTAAGCCTCGGACTATCGGGGCACGAATTGACAGAACTTTTAGGTTCGTCGTGTTCGGACACTCGTAGAAGGTAGGAAAGCGAGGAATTTCGCTCGTCTCTACAGTGCAGGAAAGGAGACTAGAGATAAACAACAACAATAACCCCGGGAGATCACAGCGACTTGTGCCGCCGCATGGGGTCCAACTATTCGGGGGTCGGCTGTGACGCGTACGCGCACCGCCCAAACAGAGTGTCCGGGGTCGGCGTGACGCGTACGCGCACCGACACCACGGAAGTGTCTGGGCAGATAATAGGCGGAACCTCTGCTCCGGCATCGACGATAGTTTTCTCCCCTGGTCCACCTTCTGACAAATAATAATAACAAAAAGAAAAGTAAAAAACCTGACGCGGGAGCCGAACTTCTGACCTACGCTGTCACTTTTTACCAATAAACTTTTGTTACCTAAACACTGTAAGCAAAACACTGAATCCGTCTATCGTCTTCGAGCGACAGAGACCATAGACTTCAGGCAAAGGGAGCCGCGCTTGGAACGTCCTAACCGCAACGCCGTAGTCGAGTCCGACGCCCTTCTGCCCCCCGTACCCCGTGGGGCTTTCGTGTAGCCTCGCCCCTTGTCCCTTGAAGGTCCGAGAAGTGTCTCCTCTTCCTCCGAGGTCCGGCCGGGCGAAGAAGAAAGGAGCTGACCACTGACTTTTAGACTCAGCCGACACGGACTTGCCGACGACGGCCTTGGCCTCTACAAAGAGCCGGTCGGAGGAGTAGAGGACGGCCCAACCCTGAGCCGCCCACACCGGAGACGGACGGAGCCATAGAACTTGGCCCGTCCTAACACTCGTGAACCCACAGCTTCCTAGACGGCCGCTCATGGCAACGTCCATGCCGACCTGGAAGTCCCTCTGTCTCCACCTCCCGAGCAGAAGGAAGAAAAGCTGAGTCGGTGGGAGCGACGTAGCTCTGTTTCGCCTCGGCTTTTATGGGAGCCCGTTCTATCCGTAGCAGCTGCTTGTAGGAGGAAAAGGGCAGCCCTACCAACCAGTCCCAACCTTGTGTACCGAGACAGGACATGGTGGTAATACGGGTACTGAAACGGGCAACCCGACCTGAGGTGTCGCATAGTGTGGACTTCCGTCTTACAGGCACTTAGTGACGTAGAGCAGGGTGTGCCGGCCGGGTCCAAACGAGCTGTCAGGAGCGTCTCGAGGCGGACCATCCGCAGTCGTCCTCCTATACACTCACGTGGACCCGCCTGTTGCGACGCGAATATCCGGGAGGCAGTAGCGACTGACCTTAGCCAGACGGGGAAGTGGACCATCGTACCCAAGGACGAACCAACAGCCTCGGGGTCGGAGCCACCTCCACCCGACGGGTGGTCGCCAAGGTCCCGCCCGTACGCCTCGTTCCGGCTCGCGAGAGGTATGGCAGTCGTCAAGGTCCCCTCCTCCGTGGGACCTAACCCCGGAATAATGACTTCCCTACTGAGAGCCCTTCTGACCTTCCTCGACGAGAAAAGGAGCGACGAACCCCGTTTCAGAAAGGGGACGCAACCGCCCTCTGGACCTCTGGCATGCAGAGGCAACGGCTAAAGTCCCGGTCACTTACAGGTCGAGACCTGCGTCGCGGCGACTGTGTGCCGTGACGTCCAGGTTTCGAGTACTCGTCGCCGCTTCGACCCACCGATAGCGGGCCCCTCTCGTCGTAGCGGGGCGAAACGGTCGGACTCGACTAGTGTGCTTCCTATGTACAAGAACCGAGAGGCTCCAGCCTGTCCTCCTTGAGTCTCCGTAAGGAGCCAGCATGTAGGTATAATAAGGTTGGAGGTCCTGTAGGAGGCGACCCGCTCTGGTACCACTCGAGGTCGGCCCTCGGGGTTCGCAACCATTCGCGCCTCGCGAGGCGAGAGCGCAGAGAAGGGTGGCCCAGGGCGGCTGTGCACACCCTGAGACCAAGACGCGACGCGACACACAACTCGGGGTCTGCTGTGTATGCCCCACGAGTTAGAGACGCCGCCGCGGGCACAGAACTAACGGTCGGACCGCTTAGTCGCCTGTACTCCCCAGGACAGGCTGTTCGATCGGAACCGCACGATCGGCACCGCCCTCCGAGCAACTACCACTTCGCCCGTCTTACGAGCGCTGCTTGGCCCCAATAGCTATCGGAG